TAAGTTGGGTACACACATGGCAAAAGAATACAAATTGATGTATCAACACTTGGGGACATTGATATGTCGAATATTTTAAAATGTTTTTTAAAAAATAAGTAGATTTCATTAAAGTCGCCAATTAATGATAATTTGAATATCCCATCTCTGGGAAAAATGTCTCTCATTCTTTACAAAACGGACATTCAGAAATTAGAGTTACAAACAAGGGATTTCTAGTTCGATGTTTTAAGTTGGGTACACACCATGATAAAATGATACAGGTAGGCGCATCAACACTTGGGATTATTGATATGTCAAATATTTTAAAATATTTTTCAAAAAATAAGTAGATTTCTATATGTTTTCTCATGCGGCGCCAATCTGAGGTTGTTATAATAAGCATTTTTAAACAAGTTTTAAAAATTTGAATCATTTTTCATTCAAAATTTTTTATTCAAAAACTAGTTTGACAGTTCATTGTCCCAACAGTTGTGTCGATGCAACTACGTATATTCTTCTACCATGCTATCGCATAACAAAAAACAAAAAACAAACAAAACAAACGAAAACAAACTATTGGAAACGTTTGCAATCGTTTCGTTCCGTATTTTCTCGAAGCACGAAACGGAACAAAACCGATGCAAACGTTTCCCGGCGATTGTTTCGCAAACGATACAGCTCGGCAACTCACTGCCGAAGTACATTGAGGCAATCGCATTGTTTGTCTACTTCAGGCATTGAAACGTTTGTGGTTTTGTTTTGTTTGGAGTACAAAACGATTGAAAAAATTTTAAAAGTTTGTGTCTTCGTGAGAGGGATTCGTTAATCGTTTCGTTCGCTGCCTTTGATTATATTATTTTTCCGGATAAAAATAGGGCCCGCTGTGATCGAAAAAGTACATATTCACTTTACTCATGTATTTCACAACTGAAATGTCGGTCATGTATCACACAATATGTGCAAAATTCTACATATGGAAAATTTGACATTACATATGTTTCAAAACATATCGTCTGATAGAGCCTTTGGCAGGGCCACTTCTAAAGGTGAGAATAAATAAAACGCTTTTTGACTCTCTTAAATCTTCTGCTGGCTTCTTCGAAAAAAAAAAAAAAAACAAACAGTAAAAAGGCTGTAAGTTCGGCCGGGCCGAACTTTGAATACCCTCCACGATTTGGAACGAATTTGGCAATTTTCAAAAACAATAAAATCCGTTAAAAATTCTCTTAAAATCTTAAGAATAACGAATGCAGCTGTTACTTTAGGGTCTATACGACGACATGGACCTGCATAGGTAACTTTTGTCATAAGCCATTCCAATATTCAAATGCAAAACTTAAAAAAAGATCGGTGAATAATGTAGCTAAAATCATCAAAATACCGAATATCGGGAGGTAAAGTTATTTGAGGGCTATACGAAGACGTGGACCTGCCCAAACAATTTTCTGTCATAGGCTGTAGTATCCACTACCAACATCAAATACCAAATTGGAAAGAATTTCTATGAATAATGTAGCTAAAATCAACAAAGTACAGAATATCGGGAGGTACAGTTATATGAGGGCTATACGAAGACGTGGACCTGCACAGACAATTTTCTGTCATTGGCTGTAGTATTCACTACCAATATCAAATACCAAATTTGAAAGAATTCAGGTGAATAATGTCGCTAAAATTAACAATGTGCAGAATATCGGGAGGTACCGTTATATGGGAGCTATACCAAAACGTGGACCTACATGACCCATTTTCAATACCAAAAGTCCTGCAGACATAATATACATTTGAGTAAAATTTTATCAATCTACTTCAATTCGTTCGGATGCTAGAGTGATTTTCACAGACGGACGGACATTGCTAAATTGACATAGAATTTTATGCTGATCAAGAATATATATATTTGGCGAGGACTAAAATGTATATTTCGAGGTATTACAAACGGAATGGCAAACTTAATATACCCTCCATACTATGGTGGTGGTGGTACTATGGTAGTGCCAAAATCGAACTAAGTCAACCTAAAACTCATTTGTTTCTCTGCGAAGAAACCAGCCGATGACTTAAGTTAGCCAATAAAGCGTATTGTGTGTTCTCAGCTTTTAATGTAATACTGGTAGAGAGTTTAGTTTACACTCATTAATATCTCTTTTTACTAGGGATTCATAGGTCGATAAAGGAAACCTTCTATTTCTCTTAATATTTCCTCCTTTCTAAGCGTATATCCTTCAAACAATTAATTTAAATAAATAATTAATAATTAAATGAGTAACATTAATAGATGTAATAATTATCATGATAATAATCATATTATTAATATAAATAATAATAATCAATGCAAAATTAAGTGGCTAGTGTCATTTGTCGCATGTGCCTATTGACGAAAAATCACTAAAAAAATCGTATCAGATAACCATTTACATAAATTTTAAATGTTCATTTCCTCTATTACAAGGTCCACCTTGTTGTCGAAATTTATTACTTCCAGTTACAATTCCTTTAAACAATATTGTATTTTTAGTCTCAGAATATTTGACATTATATTTGTTAAAAAGAAAAACATATCGTCTGATAGTGCCTTTAGCTGGGTTCATTTCGTAGCTTTTAATGTCATATTGAAAGAGAGTTTAGTTAACACTCTTTAATTTCTCTTTTTTTATTAGGGATTCATAGGTCGATAAGGGAAACCTTCTATTTCTTTTAATATTTCCTCCTTTCTAAGCGTATATCCTTCAAACAACTAATTTAAATAGGACAATATCAGATCACCATTTATTTAAATCTAAAATTTTCATTTTCTCTATTACAAGGTCCACAATTTATTACTTCCATTTAGAATTCCTTTAAACAATATTGTATTTTTAACCTCAGAATATTTGACATTACTTTTGTTAAAAAACATATCGTCTAATAGATCCTTAAGCTGGGTTCATTTCGTAGTTTTTAATGTCATATTGATTGAGAGTTTAGTTAACACTCTTTAATTTCTGTTTTTACTAGGGATTCATAGGTCGATAAGGGAGACCTTCCATTTCTCTTAATATTTCCTCCTTTCGAAGCATTTATCCTTCAAACAACTAATTTAAATAAGACAATAATTAATAATTAACTAAATAATATTAATAAAAGTAATATTTATCATGACAATAATCATATTATTAATATAAACAATAATAATCATGGCAAAATTAGGTGGCTAGTGTCATTTGTCGCATGTGCCTATTAACAGAAATTCACTAAAAAATAAGTAGTATTGTATATGCTTTCCTATACGACGCCAATCGAAGGTTGTTAAAATATGTATTTTTAACAAGTTTTACAAAATATGAAAAATTTTTCATTCAAAAATTTTAATTGAAAAATTATTTTCTGTTTTTTAGGGATGCATAGGTCGATAAGGGAAACCTTTTATTTCTTTTAATATTTCCTCCTTTCACAGCGTATATCCTTCAAACTAATTTAAATGAGACAATAATTTATAATTAAATAAATAATATTAATAAAAGTAATAACTATCATGATAATAATCATATTATTAATATAAACAATAATAATCATGGCAAAATTAAGTGGCTAGTGTCATTTGTGGCATGTGTCTATTGACAACAATTCAATAAAAAAATGTATCAGATCACCATTTATTTAAATGTAAAATATTCATTTACTCTATTAAATGGTCCACATTGTTGTCGATTTATTATTTCCATTTAGAATTCCTTTAAACAATATTGTATTTTTAGCCTCAGAATATTTGACATTACATTTGTTAAAAGAAAACATATCGTCTGATAGTGCCTTTAGCTGGGTTCATTTCGTAGCTTTTAATGTCATATTGATAGAGAGTTTAGTTAACTCTCATTAATTTCTGCTTTTACCAGGGATTTATAGGTCGATAAGGGAAACTTTCGATTTCTTTTAATATTTCCTCCTTTCTAAGAAGATGTCCTTCAAACAACTAATTTACATAAGACAATAATTAATAATTAAATAAGTAACATTAATAAAAGTAATAATTATCATGATAATAACCATATTATAAAAAAATCGTATCAGATCATAATTTATTTTAATCTGAAATGTTCATTTTCTCTATTACAAGGTCCACCTTGTTCTCGCAATTTATTACTTCCATTTACAATTCCTTTAAACAATATTGTATTTTTAGCTTCAAAGTATTTGAGTAAAGTAAAGTATTTGTTAAAAAAAAAACATATCGTCTGATAGTCATTTCGTTTTTTTTAATGTCATACTGAAATAGAGTTTAGTTAACACTCTTTAATTTCTGTTTTCACTAGGGATTCATAGGTCGATAAGGGAAACCTTCTATTTCTTTTAATATTTCCTCCTTTCTAAGCGTATATCCTTCAAACAATTAATTTAAATAAGACAATAATTAATAATTAACTAAATAATATTAATAAAAGTAATATTTATCATGATAATAATCATATTATTAATATAAACAATAATAATCATGGCAAAATTAAGTGGCTAGTGTCATTTGTCGCATGTGTCTATTGACTACACTGAAAAAATTGTATTACATCATTTATTTAAATTTGAAATGTTGATTTTCTCTATTACAAGGTCCACCTTGGTCTCACGATTAATTACTTCTAGTTACAATTCCTTTAAACAATATTTCATTTTCAGCCTCATTTCATTTCGAAAAAGGCAATTGTATTCCATGTTATTAATATATATGTTTGCCCTGACTGTAAAAATAACAATAATAAATCAAATTAATAAATAAAATAAAAAAATAATCAAATTTTTTTATTAGTTTTAAATACTAATAAAATATGTTGATCAATTTTTTTTTTGTCATTTATTCAAGTAGGTTTGATCGAAATAAAATCACCAAAGCAAATTGGCTTACTGGACTTTCTCCTAGGCACGTCATCTGTTTAGAATTATTCATACTTGTCGAGATAAAATTGCCTTATTTAAATGTTCATTACCATACCAATAAAAATAATAATAATATAAAATCAACATATATTTTTTTTTATTCTTTTCAGAGTTGTTGTTGTTGTGGTCAGTTAATGGTGTTGGCGTTTATTACAAAAAAAAAAAAAAAACAACAAACTACAATTAGCGCTGAATAAAATTATTATTGTTAACGCCTATGTCAATATTGCACGCCTAGCTGCTCAAAATTGTTGTCCAGATTTTAATGAAGCATTTTAATGCCACAGACACGTCGTTGCATCTGAAGCGTAAAGTAATTCGAGATATTATCGAAATAAATACAACAACAAAAGGAGGAATAAATCTCTCAACACTTGGTTTATTTTTCGTAAAGCCCATATGATTTCTGGAAGTGAAACAAGAACAAGAAACAATATCCCGTGGCATTTCTATATTTAGATCTTCATAACAAAAAAAAAAAAAAAAAAACCAAAAAAGACTTCTTTTCTTGCCAATCGTTGCTTTTGCCAGGTATTTAATACCCTTTGTCATCATCCAACACCACACCACACCAACCAACCATCCTCCTTATCATCGCCATGGAATTGACATCGTTGAATCAAACAAAAGATGTTGAGTTTCAGGACGTCTACTATACCGTAACACAAAAGAAAAACTTTGGTAAGTTTTGTTTTTTTTTCTTGTTCCCAAGAACATTTTATGACGCACCTTATTTAATAGGGAGGAACGAAGATAGTTTCCTAAAAAATAATTTTTATAAAAAATATCTAAACATACAACAGATTTTTAGACATACATTTTTTTAAAAATTTTAATTCCGCACTTTGTCAGTTTCAAGTAGCTTAATATAGTTTTCTATGAGAAAACTCCGGATTTTGTGTTTTTTTCTTTAGAAAACCCGCTGAATATGTCTTTAGTCAGTAGACAGCCTCAATATATCAAAAAGTTTATACCTACAGCTGATTTGTAAGCCTGCTCAAAGCTCAGTAAACTTCTTTGTATATCGGCCTAGTGATCCCTATTAAAAAAATTTGGAAGTAATTCCAAGTAATTCCATTTCACAATAGTTTCGATAGTGTATACCCCACTTTAGTTATGCCACTAGGGATTCCTATGGAAAAAAAGATGCCGGACTTCGCGTTCTTCTTTAGAAAAGTAGCTGAATATTTCCTCAGTCGGCAGGAATTTACTAAAATTGAAAAAAAAAATATTAATAAGCTCAGTAAATCGGCCTGGTGATCCCTATTAAAAGTTTTTTCGATTCGTTCACAAATTCACATGTAATTCGATTTCATAATTAACTCGATAGTGTATATCCTACTTTATTTATGATACTAGAAATCCCTATGAAAAAGAAACTATACAGGGTGAGATAAAAAAAAAACTGGAACAAGACTTTGTTGCGCCATAATTTTTACATTTTTTAATTCTATTGAATGAAAGCAAAAATTGGCGGAAATAGCATCAAATTTTAGAATAAGTTCAGATTTGTTCGATTTTGTCACCTTTGGTACGAATTATGGCCTTCAAACGGCCATCACACGCTGCCCGAATGTTGCTCTGCGGTTTTTTGGCCCATTTCCGGCGAAGCGCCTGCTAAAGGTGATGACACTTTGGTATTTTTCAGACACAATAGTCCAACGGATTGGTATCCGGAGATTTTGGTGGTCATTGTGCGCTGGAAATAAAGCGAGGAACATCATTTTGTAACCACTCTTGGGTGGCACGTGCTGAGTGCGATGCGATGCTGGGGCCTGTTGGAATGTCCAAGATGCCACGGTCGATTAATACGAGTGGAGAGCTACCTTCGGCTGTTATGGTGGCCAACCGAAGGTGCATATTTTCAGCAGACCTCCTTGGCAAGTAAACACGATCATTTTGTTTGTTTACAAATTTCTGGACAACGAATGTTTTCTCACCGGAGACCACCAAACCAAATTCGGCAGTTCCCCACTTTCGGCCAAGCGAAGCAACTCATTAGCTCTTTTGAGTCTATTTTCTTTCTGGTGCGGTGGAAATTCTTGCACTTTTTGGAATTTCAATGGCTTTACCACAAGCTCATTTTTTAATATATGCCGAATAGAATATTGCGATATGTTCAGCTCACGAGTCATTTTTCGACCACTGCGAGGCGGGTTTCGATCAAGTCGCTTCTTTACTTTTCGAACCATTTCTGCTGATGATGCGGTTTTCTTCTGATGTCGGGCTACGCTACGATCTAGTTATCCCTATTTAAAGCGTAAATTGATGAGAGTTCATTATAACATAGTTTTCTCACAACAAAAAAACAGTCAAAGCTCAACCAAGTGAAAAACGAGACTTTTTCTTTTTTCTTTTCCCTTCTCTCTTTGTCTCTCTCTCTATCCTCTTATACTATTATATGTGCCGGACAATTGGCAAACATGTGTATACATTACTTTGGGAATCGATCTAGTGATCCCAATTCAAAGCGGCGAACAGAACATGTTTTTTTTTTAATCTTCCCCTCATGTAATAAAATGGAGAAGAATACAGGTGGATGCACCAATGCTTGGGAACATGGATATGCCCAAATTGTTTTAAACGGTTTTCCAAAAAAATCTAATTTTTATAAGTTTTCTTATACGACATTACTCGTAGTTTGTGCTGCGCAACTGAAAAACATGTATCTAAACTACTTTGCTAATCGATCTAGTGATCCCTATCCAAAGCGGAAATTGATGAGAGCCTATTATACGTCTTTCTCACAAAAAAAAAAACAACAGTCAAAGCTTAACTCCAACGAAAAAACGCGAGTTGAATGATGTATTTTCGCCTCCCCTACAGTAAATGATATCCTAATTACATTTTCGTTGTCTTACTTCGATCTCGTTTACAAGGGGAAATTATTAGGAGAGTTCACACGAGTTAATAAAATAGCGGAATACAACATAAATAGAGGTTCGACGAACAGAACATGTTTTTTTAAATCTTCCCCTCATATAAAACCATGGTAGAAAAATACACGTAGATGCATTAATGCTTGGAAACATTAATATGTCAATTTATTTTAAAAGTTTATTTAAAAATAAACAGATTTTTACATGTTTTCTTATGCGACGTCATTCGGATGTAGTGTCGCGCAACTGACAAACATGTATATAAACTACTTTGCTAATCGATCTAGTGATCCCTATCCAAAGCGGAAATTGATGAGAGTCCATTATACGTTTTTCTCACAAAAACAAACAACTGTCAACGCTTAACTCCAACAAAATAAAGGGAGTAGAAGGATGTATTTTTCTCTCTCTCTCTGTTTTCCTCCCCTATACTTAAATGTATTCTTATTGCATTTCCGTTATCTTACTTCAATCTCGTTGACAAGGGGCAATTATTAGGGAAGTTCACACGAGTTAATAAAACACCCAAGCAGCATACAGTAACATATCGACTTAGCTGCTGGGACAATAAACTGTCGAACTAATTTTGGAATTTAAAATGTTGAATGAAAAATATTTAAATTTGTAAAAAATGAATGAATGACGTCCTATAAGGGCGTCACATAAATATATTTTCTCACGTAAATATATTTTATATTTATATAAAACTAGTTTCAGTGTTTTGAAAAATGTTTTTTACACCAGTTTTTTTATTTTTTTTTATTTTCTTATATAGAATGTGCTTATGTGCCTGGTCTACTGTATCTATTTTTAGCTTTATATTAAGTAATTGTTATTTTCGAAATCAACCAACAAATTGACATCATTTGCTAAAGGTAAAATGAGAGTATTGGCATTTGCATCTACTTACCTTTACCTCGTTTATAGGGAACAAATTTGTGACAGGAGCTTACGCGTGAGATGTGAATGAACAGAAAAATTAAAAAAAAATCTGGCCACGTTTCTCATATTTTATATACGGGTGTTAAAAATAACATCACTTAAAATTCCAAAACAAAAAAAAAACGGTTTGTTGTTTTTTTTTTCTTTGGTTTTGGTTGTTTTCCTGCAATTCAATTGAAGTCAATTTGCAGGGAAGAGATTTAAAGCAGCAGCAACTAATAGCTGCCATTAAACGAATGAATGACTGGCGGACAGAGCATGATTACATGAATGAATTCATGACAATACAAACCCCTTCCCCCACCCCTCACAGAGTATTGCTGGTGGTGATCATGTCGTGAAGTGTAGTGATGTTGTTACGGCTTGTGATTTTCACAATTAATTGAAGTGGCAGTTGCAGGGTTAAACTCAGTTCATTCATTCATCCGTTTAAACATAACCCACAATAATACCGACAGCTCAATGTTACAGACTGAGTGTCTAACTGGCTGGCTGAAAAAAGGTTAATTAATCTTCCGCCAAAGCAAAGCAGATCAGAGCATGACTGCTCAACAATTGTTTGTTGCCCAAGTGGCAAGGGTTTCGATTGCAAACTTTATTTGACTGAGATTATGGGATGTGCAAGCAACCAATTAAACCTGCTGTAATTTCTGTAAGATTCCCTTTAATAATTAAGATTTTCAACAAGGCATTGTTTAAAATTAAAAACTTGAAATTTTTAGTAATAAAAAACAGATATGGCAAAAATTATAGGTAATTATAAAATTAAAAAAAAAACAAAAAAATATTAAATGGCTCATCCAAGTTATAATGCTGTTGTTATTGGAGGAATACCCATTTACAACAATGTAAAGTGTAATTGTTATTTTATTATTTTAATTTTTCTAGTAACACAACAATTACCTATTTGCCAATGTTGGCACAAAAATAAACCAAAAATATATCCACTTCCAAATGTCAAAATAATTCTGCTAACTAACTAACTACCCAACCAACTATTGACCAATCGACCAACATAATATTAACAATTTTAAAGAAAAAAAAAACAACAAAAAATACCAAAACAAATTTCAACATTCTACTTGAACTTTGTTGTTGTTGTTGTAGCATTGCGTTTCTTGGTTGCTTTTTTCAATTAGAAAAAAATGAAACTTGTTTCTTCCACAACATTCGAAAATATAATGGCAAAAAATTTAGGCAATAACCAGCGTCATGAGAAAAAAGTGTGTGTGTGCGCTCAAATCCATCCACTAACCACTTAAAGGCATGATCAAAACAAACCAACCAACAACAACATCATCATCCAGTTAGCAGGTGGTCGGTCGGCCGTTTGGCATGGGCACACCGCCATGGAAGCTTCTAGAAAACTTCTAATTCACATAAAGATAAATATTGCAAACATTTACATTTGAAATGTATTAATGGTCATTTGACATTATTGGCTGTAAAAATTCGTTACTATTTTATAATTGAGCATTGCCATTTGAGAACATTTTCGGTTTCGGTGTTTAACGGCTATGAGAATATTTGATTGTGTAAACGGTGTTTAATGGCTATGCGAGAAGTAGGTGAATAAATATATTTATTGTCAATATATTGACAATTGCGTTTCCTATTTCTTCCTCTCCTAATTCCCATGCATTTGTTTACTTATGCTCTCCCTCTCTATCCCGTTTGAGAGGCCGACATGTATGCATGTATAAACATAAATAGAATGATGTCCGTTAAATTCTCTATTTCTCTTTTCTACGAAAAATATATGTTCTGTTATTCCAATTCAATGTTATTGCTTAAGCATGGTTTACACAGGACTGATAGGAGATTATTGTGATCGTTATAATGTAATTAAAAAATGTTTTT